TGAGAGTCCTAGAGATTGAATTTTTCTCCACCACGCTTGTCCTAAGTGGAATCTACATCCTCTTAATTTAGATTGTGGCCAAACTTCAGATACTGCTACGTGAATAGCCTTTTCAAAATCAGCAAAAATAATTTGAGGCCTCATGTGATGTTCTATAAATCGAAATGCTTGTATGTAAGTAGTACTGTTCTTGTTGGGCAATAGGAAAAAAACTAAGGGAAAATAATTGTTATATTTTACACCATGAATGGTAAAAAGCTGGTAAAATAATTTTGGGCAACTTTTAAAAGTTCCATCAACAAACACTATTTTCATTTTGCTGAGTATCTCTAAATTATGCGAACAAGTAAAAATTACAGTATTTGTTTCACAATCATTAATAAATTTAAAATTTTCTCCACGATTTGTTGTTATATTATAATTATCTAATGCTTAAGTTATATCTTAAGTTAATGTCTTAGGTAATTTAGGTAACTTACTTGAATACTTGATCGACTGGCGTGAATATTTTGTCTTACTCTAAAAACGTCATGTGCCGTGAGCTGTTCAATATCACCATTGACTAGTAATTCTTGGCAAATTAATTTTGTTGGACGTTCAAGATTTTCCTGAGCTTTTCTTTTTAAGTTATTGCTTAATGCTTGCCTGTCTAATATGTTTTCACTGTCTTTCTCATGATTGTGTTCGAGGTTACATTCCTCAATATTATTTAAATTATTTATTTTTAAAAAGATTTACATTTTCTTTTTGTACAAGTCCAACGTTCCATATTTCCTGATAGTTCTTTTTGGAATCCATATTTGAAACCATTAATAACGAAGAGTTTTTTATTTTTTTCACTTAACATCACTTCCATTTTAACACGCACTAAGTTAGTTGTCACAAGACTGATGAAACATAATCAATTTATTAGATATAAAATTATATTTATAAACTTTCCCAGACATCGTAAAACCTAATAAAATATTATCAAGTTTATCTATTGTACATATACGTATCTATAGTAGTATCTATAGTAGATAAGTAATTTTATTCGGGAACCAATTCGAACAGTTATATACTGGAAAGTTTTTTTTTCGGGAACCAATTCGTACACATTTAATTGACCCGGGAACCAACTCCACGTTTGCCAGTAAAAGATATAATTTTACATTTATCAATATTCAATGGTAGTTTATTAATAGAACATCAATCCAACAATATATTCAAAAAATTTTGTAATAAAATTGCATCGTTGTGAGAATTTATTTGTCGAAATATTTTCAAGTCATCGGCAAAAAGAAGTTTTCTTGAATGTAAAAAATTTAAATCATTAACAAATAAAAGGAATAATAAAGGAGCTAAGTGAGAGCCCTGAGGTACACCAGATGTTACAACAAAAAGATTAGATTTGTAATTTTTATACCTTATAATTTGTTTCCTGTTTGATATATAGGATGAAATGGGTCCTGAATACCCATATTATGAAGTTTAGATTATGAGAATTGAATGGTTTACCTTATCAAATGCTTTAGAAAAGTCTGTATAAATGACGTCGACTTGGGATCTAGAAGCAAAGGCGTCTAATACTCTAATATAAATTTATGAAAGATTAAATGATTTGTAGTTGTTGATTTACCACTTAAAAAACCATGTTGGTCTTCACATACTAATTGAGAAAGCAAATGAGTAATTTTTTTTGATATAATTGATTCAAAGATTTTTGGAATTATTGAAAGTAGACTGATTGGACGATAATTTGTTACACTAGTTATATCACCACCCTTAGATATTGGTGTGACTAAACTTGTTTTCTAAACGGTTGGAAAAGTACCAGTAGACAGAGATAGGTTACATAAATACAATAATGGAATAGTTAAAATGAATTTGCAGTTTGAAAAGAAAATACTAGGAATCATATCCGGGCCCGGATTAGATTTATAAGAAATTGTATCAAGTTCATTTAAAATATCAGTTATATTTATGACTACAGAAAATAAGTTTAAATCAGAGATTAAAGCCGAGGGAAATGTGAAAGAATCTGTTGTGAATGTATTTGAACTGACATAGACATTAGAAAAATAATGTGCAAAACTACTAACTATTTCTTCACCACCACATATAGACTGATTTTCATAAGTCATCGATGTAGGTAGTGAATCGTTTGAGCGTTTATTAATTAAAAATTTCCAAAACTGTTTAGGATTTGGCAATAAAGAGTTTTGTGTATCTGATATATATTTACTATAATCTACCTTGGACTGAAATTTACATTGGGCTCGAAGATTAGAAAAAATATTATAATTAATTTGAGAAGGAGATTGTTTATATAATTTGTAAGAAATTTTCTTTTTAAAAATTAAGTCCCTCAATACAGAGCTAAACCAAACTGGGTATTTACTTATATATACTTGTTTTCTTGTACAATTTTTATCTATAATTTCAAAAATAATATTATAGAATCGAGAGACAGCACTATTTATACATAGGTCATTGGAAACTATTTGCCAATCAATGGATGCAATTTGTAACTTAATAACATTAAAATTATATACAGAAAAATCATATTTAAATTCATTATATAGTAAGGGAATAAAGTTTTCACTAATAGGGAAGGTAATAAGTAGAGCTGGGTGATACATATAATCGATTGGTAATAACGTATTAGTCTCACATGAAACTAAAACATCGGTTGAATTTGATAAAATTAAATCAAGTATAGAATTCTTATATTGTTATTTTTATATTAACTTTATAATTGTTTATTTTATTTTTATTTGTACTTTTTATTATATTGAATTGTTGAAGATTGAGATATGAAAAATTTGCTAGAAAATTTGTTTCTAAATTTGTATACTTAAGTGAGTAATGGATAATATGGTTATTGACCACCGACCATTGTGACCAGGAAGAATATAATCTCCTAGTAGAATAATTTAAGCATTACAATATTGACTTAATAAATTATCAACAGTATCTGTATGTGAATTATAAACATTAATATCTGACTGAGGTGGTATATACAGAGTGCCAATTAATAATATTAATGAGCCTATTGATAATTTTATATATAATTGTTCAATTTTATTATCTTGAAGTAGGACACGGTATGAATTAAAATTACTTTTGACCGCAATTAGAACACCACCTCCTCTGGCTGAAACATTTATATTATTGTTGATGAGACTTCCTCTATCACATCGATAAATAGAATAGTATGGTAATAGACTGAGTTCGTTATCATTAATTTCATTGTGTAGCCAAGTTTCCGTTAAGATAATAACATCATAATCATACAATTTAACATTACGAGTAAAAACAGCCAGTTTGGTGTTTATACCGCGAATATTTTGGTAATAGAATGTTAACTTATTTGCATTTGTACATGATTCCTGACGTTTTTTGACACAGTAGGAATATTATTAACATATTTAATGAATAGATCAGATTCGCCAGCGGATTTCCTATTATTCAATTCTTCCAATATTGATTTGAAATAGTTACGTTGAAGTAGTGTGCGATCAGTGGAAAATTTTATAAGTTTAAATTTGTCACAGTGACGTAATTTATTTTTGATTTTTAACACAGTAAAAACATCATGCTGGTTATGTAATGTAATKTAATTCTAATAGGACGACACTGATTTGAGACCTTTCCTAGTCGAAGAATATTTGCTGGAATTATTTCCTGGGTACCCATTTGTTGAAATATTTCAATAATAGACTGAGTTTCATTGGTAGCAGAATGAGAAAGATTTTCAGGTACATTAAAACAGATTATATTTCTACTTCTAGCTTGTCGATCAATAATTTCAGAATACGCTTCTTCAGAAGTAATATGGGAGAGTTTTGCCTCAATGATAAATAATCTACACTCAATATTACTAATTTTATTTTTCAATAATTTATTTTCGTTGAAAAGTTTCAAAATTCTTAGATAAACTATCTAACTTACACTCAATATCCCCGAACTGCTTGTCTTGTTTTTTTTTTGCATCGCGGATTGAGTTTACTGTGTTAATTAACTTATTTTGAGTAATTTTCATATCGTTAATTAATTTTAATATTGAATCAAGTTTTTCGGTAGTTGTATTGGAGACAATTTCATTTTGCATTTTAGAGAAAAAATAAAGATTTTTATAAATAATTTTACAACGATTGTATAAAATACAGTAAAATAAAATAAATGCACTGATAAGCAAGACGGCACTGAATAACGTGTTATTAGTTCAAAGGCTGAACTGCAACTGAACATCGCACCCGAACGGTTTTTTACCAGTGTGTGTGCATCGATGTTTTGTCAAATGGCCACTTACGCTGAATGATTTGTCACACACATCGCACGCGTACGGTTTATCACCAGTGTGTGTGCGTCGATGTATCGTTAAATAGCCACTTTGGCTGAATGATTTGTCACAAACATCGCACGCGTACGGCTTTTCACCAGTGTGTGTGCGTCGATGTTTTGTCAAATGGCCACTTACGCTGAATGATTTGTAACAAACATCGCACGCATACGGTTTTTCGCCAGTGTGTGTGCGTCGATGTATTATGTATTTTCAATTGTCCACTTTGGTAGAACGATTTGTCACAGACATTGCATGGGTAATTTTTCTTCTCCATTTTTTTTTCGGAGTGACGGCAGGTTGCTTCTATTTGTAAATAATTTATTTAACATTTATTTATTTTTCGTAAAACTATTTGGTAACTATATACTTTTTTGCTTATGATCGATTAGATTTAATTGCCATCACCAGTTTTCATAATATCATTCTGTATTTTTTAAACAATTATTAGAGTATAATATTATGCTCTTACTTACGCAYTATCATTAATTTATATTACATTTTATAACAATAGCTGATACCCTCGTACTTCCATTTCCGTTAAAAATAACAATTCTATATGAATTTTTTTTTTTTAATTTGTCTGGAGTTTACACAGAAAAATTTGTCACAAACATCGCACGCGTACGGTTTATCACCAGTGTGTGTGCGTCGATGTATTTTCAATTGTCCACTTTGGTAGAACGATTTGTCGCAGATATTGCATGGGTAATTTTTCTTCTCCATTTCTTTTGTCGGAGTGACGGCAGGGTGCTTCTATTTGTAAATAAATTGTTTAAAATTTATTTTTTTTTTCGTAAAACTATTTGGTAACTATATACTTTTCTGATTATGATGGATTACACTTAATTGACATCACCAGATTTTCAAGCCAGTTAGTATTTTTTAAACATTAAATAGAGCATAATATTATGCTCTTACTGAAAGTAGTGCATTATGTTAAACAAAGTCTGTCCGTGTATTACCGTCTATGTGTCTTGTTGTGTTTTTAATGTGTTTGGAAATATTTTACAAGTATTATAAAAATTAATTTTTTTTTTTTTAAGCAAACACATAAGTCATACAATAGTATAAACATTCCATTTTATCCCTACCATACTTTCTCGCGCCTTTAACTCATTAACCGTCTGTACGACTACACACCATATCTGAGACATGTCCGAGTATTGTAGGTGATTACCAGACAAAAATTAGTGCATTAAGTAAAACAAAGTCTGTCAGTGTATTACCGTCTTATGTGTCTTGTTGTGATTTTATTGATTTTTATTTATTTTATTGAAATCAATTTATATTATTTATTTTTTTATTCATTCATATTATCAAATATAAACATTGATATTTTCGATAAATACATTTATCTATATACAAATATAATATAAAATTTTTTGGCAATACCTACACAGTTGTATTAGATAAAATAATCATCAAATTAATCATACTTGGTTATAATATTGAATAATATAACAATTAATGAAACTGAATGATGAAATAAATTTAAAATAAAAATGTATCTGTTTGCATTAGACTGATTTTATTGGTGAAATGTATCGTTGCTTATATTTCGAACTTAGATAGCTATGTACCTATTAGAATTTAACAGGAAAAAGTAAGCATATAATTGTCATAGTATTTACATAATATTTATAAATGTTGTGAGAGTATGGGATTTTTTAGGTCACCATAAACCACCCACCGTTAGGGGAACACTCAAAACGGTGACCTAACAGCCGCACCACGTGTGGACTGGTATCCAGACATTTTCCCCCCGCCTGTTTTCGGCGTAGTAGGACATTTTCCCCCGATAAATTTTTGGATGCGGACATTTTCCCCCCGTATTTTTTTCTATTATTTACCTTCGAATATAAAATTATTATCTTTAACACATATTTTTTAGCTTTTGTTCATATATTTTTTTTTTTATTTTTGTAAAAACTGTACGTTAACTAAAAAGTCTCTAACCTTAATTTCAATAAAAAAATAATGAATAATATTTAAAAAAGTTAAGTAAAAATATAATTTTGAATAGATTGTCTAAATAATATAATATAGTACAATACAACTGGCAAAAAATCCGACATAAAAATAAAAAAGGATTGTATAAACATTAAATAATATATTAATAATAGTAACTAAAAATCCGACTTAAAAATAAAAAAAAGATTGTATAAACAAAATATAATTAATAACTAAAAATGTCGACATAAAAATGATACAGTTTGTAAAAAATTCTTCATTTCTGATTCATTGGTTATTCCTAAACACATATTTTTTAGTCTTTTTTCATATTTATTCTTTTTTTTTGTAAAAACTGTACCCGTTTGAATATTTAATAATTTAATATTTGCTAGTGAATTTGATCTCTGAAGTGCTTCAATGAACATCCAAATATTTGGATGCTGAGTTCTTATCAAACTTTTAAATTTATTATTGAAACCTTCACTTAAATTATTTGTTCTACCTGTATTGTTCTTTGTAGCATTATGTACATTCCATAAATAAGGTGGAAATATCGGTGAAGACCGCCATAATGACATACCATTTGATTTTGTATTAGTTCTCTTGTAAGTTCCATTGAAGTATGTTCTATCAAAGTACAACAATAGTTCATCAATATCTGGATCATTGAGGTAATTTGATAAATCATACAGCACAGACATAGCTAACCAATAAATACAACAAAATATATATTATAAATTATAATAGAAGTAATGGTAATAATATTATTAACATAATATATAATATTACATACCTTTCTTAACATATTTCAGAGGCAATAAAGCTAAACCTTTCAACATGCCAACTATTTGACGAACATTTTCATTTTCTTTATATTTTGTAGCTAGTCCTATGTTTTGAACTTTACGCCAAATACTTTGAGAAAGATGATAATAACAACATTGAATATTAACGTCGACAAATTCTAATTCAATAGCTTGAATCATGGATTGTTCAAAGTCAATACTTATAGTTTTTAATTTCAACTCAGACAACATACTTCTAAGTGTTGATAAAAGTTCAACGTAGATATYTTTAGTTTTTCTTTGTAATAAAGCATAAACACRCGGAAMCGATGTGTTTTTAATACATGCATGAATTATGTATACTTGATAAAATTCTTTAGGACAAGTAAAAAATGTTCCATCCATACACCATTTGACCGATTTTAAAAACTCTAACATTCCTTCTGGAGATGCAAAAACAATTATTCGATTGGTATTGTTTTCATTATCAAATAATAAAAACGGTTTTGGTTCGGGCCCTCCCGTAGTAGTCCAAATGCGATTAACCGATGGCTGGGATGGGCTGGCCTCTGGCTGTCGACACGCACGTGGTTGACTCGGCTCATCTGCATCGGTTATGGCTTTAGCAAACCGTCGTAGATGGTTGATAGTGGGACGCCCAGAGCCCCATCGTGGCTCCTAGGCCATCATGTTGACGGGGTAGACGTTGAAACCAAAAAAAAATATTCGGTTCGGATGGTGATGTTTGATAGATTCAGCAGACTTAACGGCAGACGTTTGCATGGTTAGAGGTTGCGTGAAAAAAAAAAGGTGTGACAATTCGTTGGCGACGGGACTTAGTGAATGACTATTGATATTAAAGTAATGGATGTGGAATATATTTTATTATGTCTACAAATTCAAAAAAACACTCATTAAGAACTTCAAAACTAACCTTTTTAGAGTAGAAAGGTTATTTAAAAAATGACATAGCAACTTATTCCTAAAGGATCAGGAGTAGTTAAAAGACTAACAGATAGGATTTTCAACAGAACTGCATTTACACAAAAATATAAACCTGTAATTCAGTCTTATGTCAAACAAAGGTTGTTGATCCGTATGAAATATTTCAACCAACATGCAGTATCACTAGCTAAAAAAAGAAAAGCAAAAGCTCAATTAAGCAAAATAAATAAATTAAGAAAATTAATGTTTTAAATTGAGACTGAAATATGTATAAGTTAATACTTATACAATCAATTCAAGTCATTAATTTTCTTAATTTATTTATTTTGCTGCATGTCGGTTGAAACATTTCATAGGTTATTTATAGGTTTATATTTTTGTGCAATTACAGTTCAGTTGAAAATCATTTTCTTTTTTTTTAATAACCTTTCTACTGCCTCATTTTCACTGTCCTAATCTACCTGAATAATAATGATTAAAATATTTTTTTATTTTTCATTGTTTAAATTTACTAAAATATGTAATTAAATGTATAAACTATCTTGCAAAATATGTATAAAAACAAAAAATGTAATGTTAATAAACTGTTTATTATATTATATGCGTATTAAAACATTAATGTTTTAGAAGCACCTATCAAATAAGTTTTATTTGTAAAATTATGTATTATAATATATTGCTAATAAATAATAATATTATTGATTCTGACTTTGATTATGATTTGGAATATATTTCTCATTCATGAGAAAACTGAATACTTTAAAAATTAGTTTACCTATATTAATATAATGATTTATAAATATACAATGAATTTAAAGTAATAATAATTTAGTAATAATTACAATTGTTTATAATAAGTCAACAATTAAATTATAAATTTATTGTATTAAGTATATTATGAATAGTATTCTTTGAATACATATTACATCATAGTATAATACTACAGGTTTGAAGTATCTTAAATAGAAAATATTTTAATATATGATTAAGATATTATACTATTATAGGTAAGTACACTAATAACATAATAATAAACAAGTATAAATCACAAATTCACATTAATTAGCAAACAAGTATAGCCGTAAGTTCGTAAGTATGAATATTAGGCATTGCATGAATATACGACACCACGGCCGCCCGCGAAACTCTCCTACGGATGACGTCATGTGTAATAAGACGCTGCAGGGGGATGGGGGGAATGCTTTGTTTACGTAACTATGAGGCAACCTTTATTATCTATAAACCTTGATTATTATGTACATATTATTATGTTTTCTCTCTCTCACTAGAGTTTTACTTTCCTTGTCACACAGATGTGTACGAGTGAGAACCTTCGTTTCTGAACTTGGCCTAAACAGTGTTATGTAGAATGTATAAAGGAATGCCGTATCCATATGTTTAATATCTATGTGAATGGCTAGCCGCCGGCGTCGGAGTTCCGCCCTGGTTGTTGAGTGGGGAAGGTTGCTGCATCCGAGTTCCGTCCCAAATATACAAATTCAGTTTAAAGATATACCAATT